ACCGGTACACACTGGGGACCAACTGTGCGGATTGCTGCCTTCTACTCAGCACTGGTGACACCCATGAGGAGTGCTTGGTCTGGTTCTGGCCTCTCTGTTACAAGAAAAATACTCTTTTACTGGAGAAAAAACAGTGAAGGGCTACAAAGATGATTAAGTGGCTGGGCTATCTGTCATTCAAAGATGCTGGGAGAGGTGAGGTTGCTCAGTCTGGAGAAGAAAAGGCTCAGGGTGACCTTAGCAGTGTGTATGAACACTTGATTAGGGCAGTCAAGAAGAAAGAGCTAGGTTCTTCTCAGTGTTGCCTGGTGACAGGACAAGAGTCCTTTGGCACTAATTGAAACACAGGAAATTCCATATGGACATAAGGAAACGTCTTTCTAATGTAAAGTTAGAGGAACTTTGGAACTGGTTGCCTCAGTGAGGTTGTAAATTCTCAGTGCTTGAAGATATTCGATTCCCGACTGGACATGGTCCTGGACAAACTGCTCTCATTGACCATGACTGAGTAGGTTCAAAGATCTCCTACACTAAGTGATCTCCAGCAGTGCTTTCCCAACTCAGTGGTTCTGTGATAACTGAGAACCACACAGTTAACAAGGTTTAGTGAGAGACTGACTGAAAAACTTTTCTTGCATTGTAACATTTACTGAGCACGAGGTGGTGATGGGCAATCCAGCTTCTTAATGAATCATGCATTTGTGGTAAGCAGGCAAATAAGAGCACCTGGTTTACACACTGCATGCGTCAGATCTGAGCTTGCTGAACTTGCTCAGTGTAGTGCATATAAAATTCTTCTTATAAAAACAACTTAAAACAGCCTGAAGGAAAAAAAATGTCTATTTTATTTAACTACCCACCTGTGAAATTTGAAAGAAAATCCGTAAATACTCTAGACTGATTGTTTGGAAAATAGAAACATTAAAGAGTCCAGCTCAGTACTGTGCTTAACATTGTGCTTAAATGTAAGTATGTGTTCAAACCTGGTTTTAATTCATTTTCACAGAGCTCAGTGGTACTTAAGTACACGTGTAACTGTGCAATTAAATGCTTTGCTTAAAAGGTGCCTCCGAAGTTTCTGAGACACCATGTAGTCCAAGATGCTGAATAATGCTATGATTTGCAAGTGTGTTTGTAAATGTAACTACCAGCAGCTATCTGCTATGCTTAATGCCACTAATTGAAGATGCTGATTGCAAACAGATTTAATCTGTATTTGAGTGTATTTTAAAAATTATTTTTACTATTCTAATATTCCCAATCAGTTTTCCCTAAGACTCTTAAAAAAACTCTAAAATCCCATTTCGAATTTCAGATTGGAAATATTTAAAAAAAAAAATAAAGTGCTATCATAATTCATTTTCTGGGATGTAGAAGTGGTGTTACCTGCTTGAGATGTAAGATAATGTATGAGGCAGTAAGACAATAACACTGAAAATTTCACATGAAGAAAGGTCTCTAATTATTTTTTTTCTCTTTAAAAATCAAGTAAACAAAAAACCAAACAAATAAAAACAAAAACCCGAAAGAATTATAATTTAAAAAAAAAGTCCACTCCCAAAAAAAACACAAAAGCAAACCCAAAACCCAAAACTCAGAACTGCTCACTGAAACTTCATTTATTAAAAGCGAAAAAAAATACAAAAAATCTGAGGTTTAACTACTTTTTTTTGTTTGTTTATTCTGTTCTGTTGTGGGTTTAAATTCCATAGGTTTTAGACGGAATTACCAGTCACTGATTATTTTATGTGCTTATTGAACCTCATCTTTTTAAATAATGAAGTTCCTTTTGAAAATGGCACTAAAATCATATATAGTTTTGCATAGATGACATGTTAAGTATAGTTCTGATGCCAGCTGAATTTTCTTCCATAGGTGCATGCTAATTTGGGCAGGTGACCTGAGTGCAATTCACAACTTCCCCACTGCTCTTTGTCTACCAACGATTTTCTTCAGTGTCCTTGAGTACAACAATAGGACAGACCTGGGCTGTGTACTATTATCATGATTTTCCTTTAAATAAAAAGCTGGATTGTGTAGCACACATCCTCTTCTAACATCTCAGCAATATCACATGTAATCCCCTGTTCTGTTCTCTCTCCAGAAGGAGTGCTAATTACATGTTTGATAATTAGACTATAAATATCCATCCAGTTGATGAGAATTAAACACCCTCATGGATTTGAAGTTAAACTTTTGTGTGTCTGACACATCTTTATTTTTTTTCTTTGATTATCTTGCACAGTAAGGCATAGTTGATGCCTGAGGTGTGGGGACATTTAGTAGCAGTACAATTAAGATCCGAGTAAGGAGGATGAGTTTGTGTTTATCTTAACTAATACAACACCAGGAATTTCATCACATCAGCAATGGAAAGCTGTTATCGTATCTTCAATCCCTCTGATTTTTTGTGTGACACCGCCTCTATTTCTTTTTTAATTAAAATTGTGCCCCCTAGAATCATGAATTTAACCAGTGACATCAATGGGAACAACATAAAGCCCTCAAAGACAAGCTCTTTAACTTTCTTAAAACAATTAAATTCAGAGGAGCTTAACATAATAGATAGATGTTTTCAGGTGTATTTTACGACTGGATTTCTCATTTGAAACTAATCCCACCTGTCACCTGAAAAACTTCCTGAAATATCCCATCTTTAAAGCATCTTTGTGTATTTTTCAAGTATGCTAAGTATTGTTTGGAGTAATTCTTAGCCTAGGCTTAATGGAAAATAAACCTTTTGCAGGAACACAAAAACTTTGTGTATCCTGGGTAAACATAATTGTGCTCCCACAATTATGTTGGTGAACAGAAGAAAACTATTTAGCTTTGTCATTATTTAACCATTAAAATTATTCATTTAAATGTGTTGTTTCCATTGTGCACAGGTGGTAAACTTATCTCACATGTTTTTTATATAAAAGCCTGAAATAAGTGAACGCTGGCAAACAGAATCTAATGGTGTCATTAAAATGATTGTAAACATGCCTGTCGTGGCAGATGTGTGCTTTCCTTCTGTGAATATACACTCGGATTTTTGGTCAGGATCAAACAAACACAGACTTTTAGAATGTCAAAAAATGTCTGTATTCTAACAGGTTCTGTTTGGAAAGAAATCTGTTTCCTTGAGGCCAGAATAGCTATAAAATAACCAGACTACCTGATCATATCCAATGACTACTCCTATTTTCTTTGATTAGAGCTGTATTCCCTGTATTCTCTGCCATCTATGGTTTCAGCTGAACAAGAGATTATGTGTTGCATCATTCTGGTTTGAGGAAACGTTTCAACAGAGTAATAAACGTAGAGAAATATACAAAACTCAGGGCCAGGAAGTCATCAACTTTTTCTTCTCTCTGAAAATGTTGCCCTTCATTTAACTACAATTGCCAGCTTTCCAGTGATTATTTACTCTACTACACAAGGTAACACAGGCATGGCTGTTTTTATCCACCAGAGGATAGGATGAATTTAAACACATTTCCTCAGAGCCAAATTCTCCAGCCTAAACCAAAAGTTGATGGACAGCTGGGAATTCAGCAGAACCATGTGCTTCCCTTCTGTTTGGAGCAGCTACTTGCAGAGAAAAGTGTAGCTCTGTGGTTGCTCAATCCGCCTTCTAGCAAAGAGTCCTCTGAAGTAAGGTTCGTGGGGAAAGAAGCCAGAGGATTTACAACCATCTGCCTGTACCCTTCCCCTGGGAAAATGACTGTGCAGAAGTTATGTGTCCCAGAGGAGGGATTCCTTCTCAGCATTTATTTTGGGCAACGTCTTCTGCAAGAAAGGGTTGGTTTTGCCATCCAGGCTTTAAATTTCTGTTTAACCAGAGTAATGCTCAGAATCCTTAAATGCTCACAGTGTCACTTGTATTAAATCCTACTTTTCAGACTTTATAATTTCAAAACCATATAGCTCACTTTAGTTAGCCAAGAAACATTGCTATATCCCAATCTACCTCTTATACATTGGCTAACAGCTCTCATCTTTGCTCAAGTGCAAAAGGAAGTCTGATCTTCATTTTATGTAAGCGTCTGTAGCTCTACACGCAGTGATGGTGCTGTGCCAACACATCAGCAGAGACAGCTGGTTTAGAGACAGCTATAGTCATATGTCTTAGAAGTTAAGCACTTCTGTGTTGAGAATGTACTGGATTTTAGATTTGGGGCCTGAATCTCTTGTCATCAGCCTCAGTGGAAGTCCAGCACAGCTTTGGAATTACGTAGGTGTAATGCTGATGCACAAGACAGCAATATCCATTCCACAGAGAACAATGCATCTTTAGAAATGGTAAAGGACATACAATGTCCCTTTCTTTTTAAAACACACAAAGCTCTTTACCTAAAAGTACATCAAAGTCTTGGACTTCTTGACTTCTTTCTGTGCTGTTGAACTGCCTGAATATAGCTTGCCTGTGGTGTTATTAGATTACTGTAGTTGGACTTGAGACTTGATACCTAAGCAACCAGTATCAGCACAATATCTCTATCCAACTTGCTTAGCTAATGAAAGCAGCCCCCCATGTTCTTTTAACCAGATGAAGCACAGAAGGTTACACAAGGAAATTTTTCTTAGCTCAACGTGAATGTTCCTGAATAAAATCCTTTATCTGAGTGCACCCACAGTGTAGATGAAGAATAATGTCAATGCAAGTATTTTGTACATAAGTTGGTCTGAATAGGAAAGTGGCTCTTTATAGCAATTCCCTCTTGCTTGCTTTCAAAAAACAGGTCCTGTCTGAGTTAAAAATAGCTATACACAAATTTAGAATGAAAACATTTACCGCTACTTGTGGCTTTTGTGTTTCTCTGTTTACAACCAATTTTCCAAAGAAAAAATGTGGTAAGCTTCTATATTTAGTAAATTGTTCTGGTGGAGAGAGAGTTAATGAGGCTGTCCATACACCTTGGTGTCCAAATAGCCTCCTTGATTGATGATGCGAGGAGCCAACCTTCACCATGGGTCAGCGCCCAGCACAGCCCTGCACGAAGAAACATTGCAGAGTTCCTTGTGTAGGTGGAGACATTTCTACTCCACAGCATTCAGGCACATTAGATCTCTCCAGGAACAAGCTGAGGATTTATCATAATGGAAGAAAAAGTAGGTAATTTTTACTAATCTCAGCTTGGTTTTTAAACTTCTTTTTATGGAAAGTAATCTTTGATTTAAATGTTTGAAGCTCTACCTGTCATAATGCTAAGCCATTTAAAAGTAATTTTCTGTGTGTTAACTCTCTCTAAAGCTACTGAGTCTTATTTGCAGTTTGTGCACAGTGCAGAATAGCTTTTTTAAATAGTGCATGTCAGCCTGAGAACATAGCTAGAGGTACTCAGACTATCTGCTCTACACCCATTTAATTTAACAATGTCTCTTTTATTAACCGAGTACTTTTGACTGTCAGTTGCTGGATAATTTCATGATGATTGCTTTCTAAGCAGCGGTACCAATAGCTTACCTGCACAGGGAGGGCTGTTGGCAGCAGCTGGATGATCAGGCAGGTTGCATTCCAGATTTCTTGTTTGAGCCAGGCTATGTCCTTCACAAACACTGACCCGGTGCAAAGCAGTGTCCTGTCCCCACCGTGCCTGCTGCACTTGCTTTCAGAACTTCTCGTTTGAGCCGGGCTGTGTCCTTCACCAGCAGTGACCCAGTACAATGCATGGTGTCTCATCACGTGGAGCTCTGCAGCCAGAAGGGAGCTTCAGTCTGGAGCATTAACACAGTCACTGTCCCTGTAGGATATTCCAGGAGTAGGAAAAAGGTATTTGCTATAGTTACTATCCACATGAATTGCCTACCTGCTAGGATAGCAAGGTAGGGTTGCTGCTTTAACTGGGAAACTGGGACATAGATGGGCTTCATTTCTGCTGATTCTCTAGTTACCTCATTAACATGAGACCTTTGTTAATCCTTCATACCCTGTGTGATGGACAGCACAGCATGTAACAGCACTGAAGTTTTAAAAATTTTAGGTGGTATTGTTTTTGTGGAGTTTTTTTGTTTGTTAGTTTAGTTCTTAAGATTTGGTTTAGGTTTGTTGTCATGATTTTTTATGGAAGAAAATATTGATTTGCTGCAGTCTTTGAATTGCTTTCTGCTCCTTTAATAGAGCACTTGTTTCTTACATATTCCAAAAAAAGGCTCTTGGAATAGCTCTGCAGACACTCATTTAAAATCACTTTTATCACAAATTTAGTTTTCTGGATGCATGCTCTTTTCTTACTTTTAGTCTGGCCCAACAAATTATTATAGTGTAATCCTGATTTCAATATTATCTTTTTTACTAGTGTTGTTTGGAATAGATTAACTTCTTCACAATTTGTAAAAGTGAAAGGAGTACCAATAATGTATTAGACTTAAAAACACTGGTCCTCAACAGGCTATGATGAACAGTGATGTGCTTATATGGGTGAAGAATCAGTGGCTAAATGAAACAGTTTCCCATCATAGTCACGGATGTGGAAAATTCTTCATATATCTTGAGATTAGTCTGTCTGGTTTGGGGTTTTTTGTTGGTTTGTTTGGTTGGTTGATGGCTGTTATTGTTTGGGGTTTTTTGTTTAATTTTATTTTTTTCCTTGTTTTCTTTCCTGGGAAGAAGAGAAAGGTGTTAGGTAATGTCTTTTTCCTTTTTCTTTATCCCCATTACTGCTGCATATGAAGACAGTAACTTTTCTTACATCTTTGATACAATGGGAATAAGCCTAATATTGGTATTTTAAAGGGATACATTTAAAATTTATCCAGTATAGCAAAATCCCATCACTGGACATCTTAAGGTCAGTTACTTGCTGCCTGATAATAACATATACTTTACAATTGACAAGTAATAAATGAAAATCCTGTTGTCACATACCTAGGCTGTAAAATTACATTCCTAGTTGAAGGTAATTTAAGCATAGAGTAGCATGGGGTATGATAAGATATACTGTCAAAAATAAATCATAGGGCTAAGACACTTTCCATTCTGATAAAAATGTTTTATATCCATACTTAGATTTATTCATATCAGTGGAAATTTTTACATAAAATGGGATTTTCCTCCCAAATTAGACAGAGTTCCTTGCAGAAAAAAGCATGTGGCCTTGCAAGCATTAGTAGCCATGGTTGGTAAATATTGGCAGTAGAGTAGCAGGAAAGTCTCAGTAAGAAGTGAGGTCAGAGCTGGGTGCTCTGCTCTGCAAACATCTGAAGGCACAGAGGGTTTGCTGTCAGACAGTGGTAAATAAATGAAAGGTCATTATGTTCCTGTATAAGGTGGATGACTTTTTATTTTTTTAATCAGGGGGGCTGAACCTACTTAACCTTTAAGCCTTATGTCATCCTCTGCTTTTTCTAAATGTTTCTGCCTCTTCACCTTATATTAAGACTACAGTTCTGGACCTTGCATCCATCAGGAAGAAAAGCAAAGGGAAAATAAAAAAAGAAGCATAGTCTCTTCACAGGCGAAAAAGGATCTTTGCAATTTATGAACTGTGGTTCTTTTTATTTCTGGTATCATATAGAGAAATTTAAATTATTTTAGATAGCCTTTAATGTAGGTACCTCCTCCAACCCTATGAAAAAACAAGTGTCCTTTTTTTGGAAACCTCCTGTTGGTGCACTCTGTGGTGTACAGAATGGGAACAGATGCAAGATGAGCTCCTAATATTGTAGTAGAACAGGCACAGTGGATTGAGACATTCTGAAAAAGGACATTTGGTACCATGAAAAAAAAAAGCCTTCGCTCTACACACACCCTATGTATAACGCCCTGTAATTTCCTGTCTCCTGCTCCCTCCCAAATTATGTGCAGAAACATCTAATAAACTGTCTTGCTAAAACATACTGCATAACCAAGACATATGGATGACAGAGAAACGGCGTTGAGAAGAATATTCTGCGTTGATGCTTAGTATGTGGACTTGACTTTTCACAAGGAATGACTTCAGCCTCATTCCTCAAGGCTTCCCTTCTCTACAGTCCAAGCATTTGAGTCAAAATTGCCGGGACTTAAATGCCAAACTAATCTAATTTAATACTTTTAGCAATAGCTTGAGTCATGCTCTGAATGCTCTGCCTTGCTTCATTTAATTAAAAAAACAAGACAAGGCAAAAATAATGCAAGAGCAAGGCTGCCAAAGCTCTGTAGTCTGCTTGTTATCCAAGTGGGATTTGTTTACCAACTTTATATAGCAAACAGTTAAGCTGTTTTCTCAAACACATTTCTAATACCACCACGTCACCCAAGTTAAAGGCCGTGAACTCTTCCTTTCTCCTAACCAAAGAAGGAAAATGGTAGTTAATAATATATTACTTTTTAAACCAAATACTTTATTAATTTAAATAAATCCTATAATAATATCTTAACATACCAACACAGCAATACAAAACCTGGGTATTGGTCTGCCTGTTTGCATGGAAGAATTAACAGCAGAACAGCAAGACAAAAACATAGGCAAGTAGTTTAGTAGTTTATTTTTTAGTCTTTATTCTTCTCATTGAGTAGATCAGAAGTCCAGTAGAAATTCATGTGAACCTCCTTTGTCAAGTGAGATTCTCATCCAGTTAGTCCTTTTTTTTTCAGATCCCTTATTGTGCAGATCATCAACACACTATACACTGGTAGAGGGTAAGGAGAAATTTCCCATTGAAAATTTTTGGTATAACTGTCTATCAGGAAGCTTCATACACTTATTTCTAAACATCTGCCCCTGGCCAATGTCCCATACTAAATGCTGATTTAGAGCAACATGCTAATATTTGCCCCCATTTACGTTTGTTGTATGTAAACAACATACAGCAGTAAAAAACGTCATTTGAAAATGCACATACATACACACTTGTAGTATCTTCATTATCTAAACTTTCAGGCTCAGGTTTGCTATGCCTACTTCATGTGAACTTTTAAAAGAATAATTTTAATCATCTTTAATTTATCTAATTTCCAGTCTCACGGAGTCGTTGTGAGCATTTTCTGCACAAATATTGGGATTCATCTGAACTGACATTAAATGCTTGCAATATGGATACACATGTATTAATTGATATAGACTGACAAACCCCCCCACTTCTAGAGAGTTATTTATCTGACCTATTTTAATAAGTTATTTACCAAAACATGACTCATACTGTACAAGTTTCTACTCCTTCCTTTTGACCATGACTGAATCCAAAGATGGTTAGCTCAAAACTAAATTATAAGAGGAATCTTAACCAATCATGTCTATAGTCTAGGTTAAGATCTCACAAGACTATGTTGACTGTACCTAAGCTGCAGCTTACTGAAAACTGGAGGCATCTTTTGATACCCAAAAAGATGTAATTCCATATATCTCTACTTCCTGTTTAGACAAATGCCACCACAAAGTAAGAACTGAGTAGCATAAGTTGCAGCAACAGCATCAGCATCCGCCACCTCTGCACGGGGCTGTGCATGGCCCTCCGAGCTCAGTGGCCAAAGTTCACTGGCCAAACAGCTGTTCCCCATCTTCTCCGGGGAAAAGGCAGTAGGCCAGATATTTTTCTGCACATACTTTGAAGTAACTTTACCACTGCTGTTGGTATATATTCCATAATTTGATTTAAACAGTTTGTTCTTGCAAAGGGACATGCAGCCAAATCATGTGCAGTTAAGGAAAAACAAGACAATATAGTCACTTCCCATTTATTAAAATGAGGACTGAACCTGGATGTCCTCATACTTCAGAAAATTAATGATATGATCCATGCAAGAATGCTATGACCAACTCAAATTCTGTTGCAAGCTATATAACTATATGTCTAAAAGCCCTCAACTTTAGCAAAAAAAAAAAGATCTGATAATAAAGTTTAATTTTTAGAGCTATCTCTTTCTAAAAACAAGACCTCAGTTTAGACTAGCAGTGATTGCTGAAGCTTTATTTTCACTAGAGAAGGAAAAAAAATGTCAAGTCCAGTAAAACCCAGGATAGAGGATAATGTTTAATTTTCACCACCTGCAGATGCTTCTTGAATTAAATAACAGGTCCAAAATCTATTTTCATCTTTGTACATCCTTGTCTGGCCCGTTGGTAAATTCACTTTGACTCAGCTCCTAAAATCCATGAAACAGACAGAGATAAAAAACATTTCTTCTTTTT